TTACAGATGCGCTACCACGCCCAGCTGATTTTTTGATTTATTGTAGACATGAGGTCTCCATGCCCACACGGTTCTCGAACCCGCGGGCTCAGGCAATCCACTCGCCTCAGCCTCCCAAAGGCGCGGGATTACAGGCTGAGCCACCGAGCCCAGCTGTTGTGTGTATTATGTGAGATACAGCATGTCTGTAATTCTTCTGCTGAGACTGGATCTTGCTATATTGCCCAAACTGCTCTTTAACTCCTGGGCTCCAGTGATCCTCCCATCACAGCCCCTCAAAGTGCTGAGATTATAGGCAAGCGCCCCAGCCTGCAATAATTATTTAAGTTAACCCCAATGTCCTTGAAGTACAGGATTCTCTGTGTAGGAGAACAAGGATATATATAGAACACAGAAGTGGTTACATAAAAAATCTTTTAGAGCAGGGCTCAGTGGCTCTGCCCGTAATCCCGTGCCTTGGGAGGCTGAGATGAGTGGATTGCCTGAGCCCGCGGGTTCGAGACCCACCTGGGCAACTTGGTGAGACCTCATCTCTACAATAAATCAAAAAAATTAGCCGGGTGTGGTAGCGAGCGCCTGTAATTCCAGCTGCTTGGAAGGCTGAGGCGGAAGGATCGCCGGAGCCCAGCAGGTCGAGGCTATGGTGGCCGGGAGCGGCTAGTGCACTCCAGTCTGAGCAACAGAGTGAGACTCCAACTCAAAAAAAAAAGGCTTTTAGTTTTTAATCTAAATTTCTATGCACTGAAAAAAAACTGGAAATGAACACTAAACCACTGTTTACAATGAGTACACCTATGGTCCAGATCATGATTTTCAAACATTCTCCCACTAAAAGTAACCAGGAATCCTTGAAGGAATGGCTGATTCCAAGTCTGGAACAGAAAAACTTCTACATGACCTTGAAACATCTCATCATACCAGACCTCATCTCTACAATTTAAAAAAAAAGAAAGAAATTAGCCGGGGGCAGTGGCAAGTGCCTGCAGTTCCAACTACTCGGAAGGCTGAGGCAGAAGGATCACCTGAGTCAAGCAGGTTGAGGTTGTCGTGGCCATGAGCATGCCACTGCACTCCAGAATGGATAACAGTAAAATTTCTACTCAAAAAAACAAAACAAACAAACGAAGAAACAATAGACTATTACATTTTACAACTCTCTAAAAAATTAATCAAACCTAGGTAAAGACAACACTACTACTATCATTAAAAAAAAGGCAATCTGCCATATATCCCCCAATAGAAGAACATAACCTTTATAGTATTCTTGCAAATCAAAGCATCAGAAAAATAGCAAACATCAAGGTACAACTACTAATCAATGTACAAAAACACAGATGACAAATTCATGGCAAATTATACTACTTCAGTGCAATCAGCAAAACCAAACTAAGGAAATGCTACCGGCTGGCTCAGAGGCTCAGCCTGTAATCCCAGTACGGAGGCCAAGGTGAGTGGATTGCCTGGGCTCGCAGGTTCGAGATCAGCCTGGGCAACTTGGTGAGACCTCGTCTCTATAATAAATAAAAAATTACCCAGGTGTGGTAGCACACAACTGTAGTTGCGGCTACTTGGAAGACTGAGGCAGAAGGATCACTAGAGCCCAGCAGGTCGATGCTGGGATGGCCGTGAGTGTGCCACTGCACTCTAGCCTTGGTGACAGAGTGGACACCAACTCAAAAGGAGACAGAAAAGAGAAAAAAGAAATGCTACTGAGCAAATGACTCAGTTTCTTCAACAAATAAATAGCAAGGGCAGTGAAAGAGAGAATAATTTAAAATATTAAGCTGGTGTGCTGGCTCTTGCCTGTAATCCCAGCACTTTGGGAGGCGCAGGTGAGAAAATTGCCTGAGCTCAGGAGTTCAAGACCAGGCTGAACAACATGATGAGAACTTGTCTCCAAAAAAAAAAAAAGAGAGAGAGAGAGAAGGAAGTTGGTTAGAGCAACGTGTTAATTTAAAAAATATTACGAGACTTAAAACCAACTGCTAACTAACTGCAGATTATAGACCTCATATAGATCTTAAATCACATAAACTATTTTAAAAATCGATGTCTGTGATAACTGGACTTCTGAACACTGAGTGGATATTTAACGATATTAGGAAAAAGTTTTTTTAGGTCTTATAACAATACTTTGGAGATTTTTAAAATATGTATATATACGGAGAGAGAGAGAGAGAGAGAGAGACAGTCTCACTCACTCTGTCATCCAGGCTGAAGTAGAGTGGTGACATGATCACAGCCCATCACAGCCCCGACTTCCTAGGTTCAGGGAATTGTTCCGCCTCAGGCTCCTAAGTAGCTGGAACTACATGCATGCACCACCACACTCGGCCTTGTAGCTGTGTTTTTAAAAACCCTTATCTCTGCCGGGCTTGGTGGCTCAGCCTTTAATCCCGCGCCTTTGGGAGGCTGAGGTGAGTGGATTGCCTGAGCCCATGGGTTCGAGACCCGCCTGGGCAGCGAGACCTCATCTCTACAATAAATCAAAAAATCAGCCAGGCGTGGCAGTGCATGCCTGTAATTCCGGTTACTCGGTAGCCTGAGGCGGAAGGATCGCCGGAGCCCAGCAGGCGAGGCTGTGGTGGCCGGGAGTGGCTATTGCACTCCAGTCTGGGCAACCGAGTGAGACTCCAACTCAAAAAAAAAAAAAAACCTTATCTCAGTTGAGCTTGGTGGCTCAGCCTGTAATCCCGCGCTTTGGGAGGCTGAGGTGAGTGGATTGCCTGAGACCGCAGGCTCGAGACCCGCCTGGGCAACTTGGCAAGACCTCATCTCTACAATAAATCAAAAAATTAGCCGGGTGTGTTAGCGCGCGCCTGTAGTTCCGGCCAACTGGAAGGCTGAGGTGGAAGGATCACCGGACGTCGAGGATGCGGTAGCCGGGAGCGCGCCACTGCACTCCAGTCTGGGCAGGAGAGTGAGACTCCAACTCAAAAAAAAAAAAACCAAAAAAACCTTATCTCTCAGATACATCCAAAAATATTTATAGACAAAAACCATGTGGTGCTTGAGATTTGCTTTAAAATAATACAAAGAGAAAGAAATTGGTAGAGTACAGATGAAACACAACTGGCCGTGTATTAAAGTTAAGTGGTAACTACATGGGAATTCATCACACTATTCTCATTTTATATATGTATAAGTTTTTCCATAATAAAAAGTTTCTTGCTGGGCGCAGTAATCTCAGCACTTTGGGAGGACAAAACAGGAGGATTTTTTTGAGTCAGAGCCTTACTCTGTCACCCAAGCTGGAGTGCAGTGGCACGCTCACAGCCATCTCAGTCTCAACCTGCCAGGTTCACGTGATTCTTCTGCCTCAGTCTTCCAAATAGCTAGGAACACAGGTGTGCACAACCAGTGTTGTGCACAGGTGTGCCTGACTAATTTTTTTGATTTATTGTAGAGAAAAGGTCTCATCATATTGCCCAGGCTAATCTCAAACCCCTGAGCTCAGGTAATCCTCTCACCTCCAGCTCACAAAGTGCTGGGATTACAGGCATCAGTCATCACACCCAGCTCAAAGCAGAGGAATGCTTGAGCTCAGGAGTTCGAGACCAGCCTGAACAACAAAGCTAGACCTCAACTCGACAAAAAACAAGAAAATTAGCCAGCTGTGGTGGCGCACACCTATAGTACCAGTTATTCAGGAAGCTGAAGTAGAAGGACTGCCTGAGCCCAGAAGGTGGAGGATGCAATGAGCTGTGACTCTGTCACTAAACTCCAGCCCAGGTGACAGTGGTACCCTAATTAAAAAAAAAAAAAAAAACGTTCTAAAAAATATGTCAAACAAGTGTTTCTACGAACACATAAAAAACATACAGTTTAGCTTCAACAGTAATAGGCCATCTGATTATTTTTTCTTCTACTCTCTTCCTAAATTCTAATTGTTCCTTTTTGATCATACAGTCCTGCCCTGAGACAAAATAATTTTTTTTTAAGACATAGGGAATCATTCTATCACTCAGGCTAGAGTGCAATGGTATGATCATAGATCACTGCAGCCTCGAACACCTGGCCTGAAGCAATCCTCCCACCTCAGCCTTCCAAAGTGCTGGGATTACAAGCATAAGTCACCATGCCCAACCAAAAAAGAACTTTTAAAAGTAAAAGAAACCAGTTAGTCTGGGCAATCTTAATTTCTTCCTCTCCCACCTCCTTCCTGTTACCTTTTGCACCTTCTAATCTCAAATCTCAGCCAACATCTTCCCAACTGCCTTTTAATCCTATTCCAATGAGAAAGAAGACAAAGAGTGCTAATAAAATAAGTCTCATCGTTAAGGACAATGAGAGTAAATCATGTAGTGATTTCAGCACATGGGTGAAAGTCAGGTGAAAGCCACCTTAACAAATAATAAAACATGACCTACCTTGAAGTTTTCCAGAAGCACCTTGCACTCTCTTCCAGCTCAAAACCAAACCACATTTCTAAAAAGAAAACAAATAAAAAAGATTGCTACAAAATAATTTAACAATATAATTTTTAAAGTAACAAAATAATTTTCAATGCAAATAAGAGCATTATATTCCCACTGGAGGAAAAAACCAGAAGAAAGACAAATAAGAGATCAGCAACTAAGTTTGTTAAAATTTCCCCCAATTTCCAAACTCCTTATATATAAAAAAAAAAAAATCAGCTAGGCTCGGTGGCTCAGCCTGTAATCCCACACCTTTGGGAGGCTGAGGTGAGTGGATTGCCTGAGCCTACAGGTTCGAGACCCGCCTGGGCAACATGGCAAGACCTCATATCTACAATAAGTCAAAATGAACCGGGCATGGTAGCACGCGCCTGTAGTTTCAGTTACTTGGAAGGCTGAGGCAGAAGGATCGCCGGAGCCAAGCAGGTCGAGGCTGCAGTGACCAGGAGCAGCCACTGCACTCCAGTCTGGGCGACAGAGTGAGACTCCAACTCAAAAAAAAACAAACAAAAAAATCTATGACATATCATTTTAAGATAAATATAAATTCTTACTGATTCTTCTTTTGTAGAAAATTCCCTACCTTTTAATAAATTAAAAAGTTTACAGCATTACTTCTCCTACCAAAAAAATATATAAAAAAGCTAAGTGTCTATAACAGAATGGTTAAAGAGAACTATAATAAATTCAAGTAAATATTATAAATCCATTAAGACTGCTTTAAAACTGTATGCATATATTTATAAAAGATTTTTTAATGACATAGGAAAAGGCTTGATACGGTATTCAAAAGTATCTTGGGAAAAGAAAAAGGAGTCATACAGTAAGATTTAAACTATGTAAAAAAAATTCTGTAAAACATACAGAAAAATTACAAAATGTTAAGGGACATGTTATCTAAAGGGGGATCATTATTACACTTTAAAAGGAAACAAAGTTATCTAACATTATTTCTAGTTATTAAAGTAAAAACTAGAAAATAAGTTATTTTTATGGAAGGAAGGCAAAAAAAAAAAGATAAACTATTTTTGGAAAAAAATAAAAAGATTACCTGTCCGAGTTGAGAGAATATATACATTTTCCACATCTCCCTTCAGAGAAACCACTAAAATGACAGTCAAAGAATATAAAAGACAGAAGTCCCAAACTCAAATCAATGAGGAAATCAAAGAGATTTCCTCAAAATTATGAAAAGAAGCCGGGTTCGGTGGCTCAGTCTATAATCCTGTGCTTTGGGAGGCCGAGGTGAGTGGATTGCCTGAGCCCGCGGGTTCAACACCCGCCTGGGTAACTTGGCGAGACACCATCTCCACAATAAATCAAAAAAATTAGCTGGGCGTGGTAGCGCGTGCCTATAGTTCCAGCTACTTGGAAGGCTAAGGCAGAAGGATCGCAGGAGCCCAGCAGGTCGAGGCTGCGGTGGCCGGGAGTGGCCACTGCACTCCAGTCTGGGCGACAGAGTGAGACTCCAACTCAAAAAAAAAAATCTTTTTTGAAAAGACAAAACACAAATGATGGATGATAACATTTTGCAGAGCAAAGAAGGTTGTACCTTCAAGTGTGTATAGAGCGGATACCAAAGAGAAAGAATCAGACTCACTGATTCTCCAAAGCAAGGGGAACTGGACTCCAGTGAAGGGTACAGTGAAGAATGGAGTTTCGAGCTGAATAAAAACAGGCACTTACTTAACCCAAACATAGAATAATCAGAGTCTCACAGTCTGTTCAAGCAACTACCCTGCCCCCACTACCAGAGAATATAGCCTGAAGACTAAAGTCTGAGAAAAATGGACAAGAACAGTTTTCTGCTGTGGAGTAGCATACGTGACAAAAGACCTGGAGACTAGAAGAGACAGGAAAGGGAGACAGTAAAGGCATTTGTAGGAAATGACTGAACTCATTTTTAGTTGGGGTCTCACTCTGTCACCCAGGCTGAGTACAGAGGCACAAAAATGGCTCAACACAGTCTTGAACTACTGTACTCAAACAATCCTCCACCTTGACCTCCCAAAGTGCTGGGGATTGCAGGTGTACAGGTGTGAGGTTTTTTGGGTTTTTTTTTTTTTTTTTTGAGTTGGAGTCTCACTCAGTCGCCCAGACTGGAGTGCAGTGGCCACTCCCAGCCACCGCACCCTCGACCTGCTGGGCTCTGACAATCCTTCCGCCTCAGCCTTCCAAGTAGCCGGAATTACAAGCACGCACTACCACGCACGGCTAATTTTTTTGATTTATTGTAGAGATGACATCTCGCCAAGTTGCCCAGGAGGGTCTTGAACCTGCGGGCTCAGGCAATTCACTCACCTCAGCCTCCCAAAGCATGGGATTACTGGCTGAGCCACCAAGCCCAGCCAGGTGTGAGTTTTTAAAAAGAAATCTTTCAAATTGAAAGCATTTTCACACAAAAATGAGTATTCATGGTACCATTATTCATAATAGCCAACAGGTAGAAATTATCCCAACCAAGGAATGGATTTATAAAATCTAATTTATCCATAAAATGAATTATTTGATCATAAAATAGAAATACTGATACATGCTACAACAGGAATGAATCCTGAAGACAGTATACTAAGTGAAAGATGCCAAGCACAGAAGGCCACACATTCTATGGTCCCATTTATATGAAGTGCCCAGAAGAGGCAAATCTATTAAGACATAAAAGAAAATAGTGGTTGCCAGTGGCTGGAGTAGAAATGAATGAGGGTAACTTAATACTACACACAGGTCGGGCGTGGTGGCTCAAGCCTATAATCCGAGCACTCTGGGATGCCAAGGCAAGAGGATTGCCTGGGTCCGTGGGTTGGAGACAAGCCTGAGCAACATGGTGAGACCTCGACTCTACAATAAATCAAAAAAAATTAGCTGGGTGTGGTAGCACGCGCCTGTAGTTCCAGCTAATGGAAGGCTAAGGCAGAAGGATCGCCTGAGCCCAGCAGGTCGAGGCTCCGGTGGCCAGGAGAGTGCGACTGCACTCCATCCTGAGCGACACAATGATCTCCAACTGAAAAATAAAAACACTATGCACAGTACTTCCTTTCATAATGAAAATGTCCTGGAATTAAGATAGTTGTAATATTTACAAAACTTTCTGAATATACTAAAAACCACTAAATGGTACATTACAAGAGGGTAAAAATTGTGATATATGAATTAAATCTCAATGAAGATATTACAAATAAATATTGCCAGGTGCAGTGGCTCAAGCCTACAATCCCAGCACTGTGGGATTCTTGAGGTGAGAGGATTTCGTGATTCCAGGAGTTCAAGACCAGCCTGGGCGACTTGGTAAGACCTCATCCCTACAATAAATCAAAGAATTAGCCAGGCATGGTGGTGAGTGCCTGTAGTTACAACTACTTAGAAGGTTGAAGCGAAGGATCGCCTGAGCCCAGCAATGGTAGCCATGACCGTGCCACTGCACTCCAGCCTTGAGTGACAGAGTGAGACTCCAACTCAAAAAAACAAAACAAAACAAAACACCAATGTGAGAGTGAACGAGGAAGGAACAGAGTGCTCCAATTCTACCAGCAGAATGCTGTTTTGTTTGCCCACAGGAGTTTCAGGAACCTCTTTATAATCCATAAACTGCATTCATTTATTCATTCTTCAATCCATACACTACTGCATCAATCCAACAAAACCAGCTATGTTGGTATATCCATTCATTATCCATACCAACCCAACATACATCCCCAACACCTACTATGTACACACAGTGCAAGAGATTTGACTGAAACTGATATACATGTCTGTCTCAGGCTCTGGAGCAGTGGTTCTCAACCCATGGCAAGTTCCTCCCCAAGCCGCTGCAAGAGATATTGGGTATTAATGGAGACATTAAAAAGAGGGTGGGTGAGGAAGCTTCAGAGACAGAGAACTAATGAACTTTAAATCATGGTATTAAAATAAATATCCTGAGGCCGAGGTGAGTGGATTGCCTGAGCCTGTGGGTTCGAGACCCGCCTGGGCAACTTGGCGAAACCTCATCTCTACAATAAATCAAAAAATTAGCTGGGCGTGGTAGTGCGGGCCTGTAGTTCCAGCTACTTGGAAGGCTTAGGCGGAAGGATTGCCGGAGCCCAACAGGCCGAGGCTGCGGTGGCCGGGAGCGGCCACTGCACTCCAGTCTGGGCGACAGAGTAAGACTCCAACTCAAAAAAGTAAATAAATAAATATCCTGGCTGGGTACAGTGGCTCAGCCTGTAATTCCAGCAGTTAGGGAGGCTGAGGTGAGTGGAATGCCTGAGCTCATGGGTTCGAGGTCAGCGTAGTCAACTTGACGAGACCCCATCTCTACAATAAATCAAATTTAGTTGGCCGAGGTAGCACGTGCCTGCAGTCCCGGTTACTTAGAAGGCGGAGGTAGAAGAACTGTCTAAGCCCAGCAGGTTGACACTGGGGTAGCCATGAATGTGTCACTGTACTCCAGTCTGGGTGGCGGAGTGAGACTCCAACTCAAGTAAATAAATAAATAAATAAGCCAATTGAAAAGCTGGAGGATAAAGTCGAGGACAAAACCCAAGAACCAGTACAAGTATACTAAGAGATGGAATACAGTAAATAAAAGACACTTAGGCCAACCCAGGAAGTTCAACATTCAAGTAAAGAATTCCTAAAGAAGAGAAACAATAAAGAGAATTACCAAATAGCCAGAGTATTTCTCAAGAAATTGCCCACTACCAGGTGCACTGACTCATGCTTGCAATCCCAGCACTTTGGGAGCATAGGCAAGAGGATTGCCTGAGCCCAGGGTCAAGACTAGCCTAAGCCAACATGACAAGACCTGTCTCTACAATAAATTAAAAAATTAGCTGGGCGTAGTGCCGCACATCTATAGTTCCAGCTACTTGGAAGGCTGAAGCAGAAGGATCTACTGAGCCCAGGAGGTCAAGGCTGAGGTGGCCATGAGCATGCTAGTGCACTCCAGCCTGGGTGACAAAAGTGAGACTACAACTCAAAGAAACCGCCCACCAAGTAAATAACTTGCATAATAATGTAAGAAAAATAAGAAAACCCAGCAAAGAATCATGAAATTTCACACAATCAGGAAAAAACTCAAATTCAAACTGAAAGAGACATTCCAAGGAATAGCAGGTCACAAAGAAGATTGAGAATGGCACTAGACTTCTCAAAACCACAAGACAATATTTCTTTTTTTTTTTTGGAATTGGAGTCTCACTTCGTCACCCAGGCTAGAGTGCTGTGGCACACTCATGACCACTCCAGCATCGACCTGCTGGGCTCCTGCGATCCTTCTGCCTCAGCCTTCCAAGTAGCCAGAACTATAGGCGTGCAGTACCATGCCCGGCTAATTTTTGATTTACTGTAGAGACGAGGTCTCGCCAAATTGCCCGGGCTGGTCTCAAACCTGCAGGCTCAGGCAATCCACTCGCCTCAGCCTCCCAAAGTGCTGAGTCACACAAGAACAGAGGCAGGAAGAGCTCCAGAAAAGAAGGGAAACTGAGAGATTACTTGACACTTTTCAGTAGTGGGAGAAAAAAAGGCTGGTATGAGGCAGAAGTAATGGAGAAGTCTGAGGATTTTAATACATTTACAGAAAATCAGGAGCATGAAAGAATAAAGCAATTAACCATTCTGAGAAAGCAAAGAGTTGTAAAAGAAAGGAAACACAATCAAAGTACAGGGCTTAGTTCTGCCTAAACTATTTACATAACCATCATGACACTGATTCACAATTTTACTACACTGTAACAACTCTGTTAGGAAACTGGATAAGGGAGACTACAGCATGTAAGAGAGTTTAGGCCTCCATAACAAGTCAACAGGTAACTATCAAAATTATAAAGGACAACAGCAAAAGACAAATCAAAACAAGAATGAAGTAACATTTCACATCAGTTTCAAAGTCTAATCACCAAGTGAGAAATAAGACCTACGAGAATGGAAATATATGACACTGCTAGATTAAGTATAAATAGGCATAACCACTTTGGGGGGGAAAAATTGCCACTATCTTATAAAGCTGAAGCTAAGTATGCCCTAAGACTCAGAAATTCCATACCAAGATAATGCATTACAGAATTTTTTCACATACACCGAGGAAGACATGCTGAGGAAGGGGCACTTCTGAAAATGCAGGAATAAAAAAAAGGAAAATAAGTTACTTCCTGTTTCTTTGTCCTACTATTTTCGAGGGCTTTTCACTTTGTTCAAACTACATGTTTTGGCAGAATCTAATCAAACTTTTGACAGAATCCAATCAGGATAGTGACCTTTTGTAAGCCAATCAACAAATAGGACATGAAAATGAAATGATTATGTAAACCAATCAGTGTGTAACAAGTAATGCTAACAGCCGTTTCCAGCTACAAAATATCCAATCAAATGGATAATGCCAAACTGCTGCCTTGTATGGAAGACAAAGAAACTAAAATGTAATAAGGCAATGACTGTCTGTATTCCTGGCTCAGCCTTTGGATTAGAATCTACTGAGCTGGTGTCTGCACAAATAAATGCTGCTTCCTGGCAAAACACCTCGGTGTCCCATGTCTCTCTGCGGCCAATTCCCGCTACATTTCTATTAGTAGTAATGATATAGAAAGAGAGACTTCCAGAAACAGAGAAGAGCAAACATATTTCTACACTCCAGCAACTTCGATTTTCCTGGATTCCATGAGGGCAAAGTCCTGGTTTTCTGCAGACCCTGGACATAGTCATGTGGCCGCAGTGAAAATCCCAGGTGCAAGAGTCAGAATTCAGTCTGAAGTCACTAGAAAGGCCCAGGAGGTAAAGAAGGAAAATGAAATGCAAAAACCAGAAAAATCCTCAGACCCTGAGGCACTCAGGAAATCAGAATTTCCTTCCTACAATGGGGAGTCCTTGAATATAGAGAGTTGAGGAGGAAGAATTATGAATGGTCTAGAGCAACTGACTGGCAAGACTGCAGGACACATATGAACTGCTCCTAAGGCCAACCAGAGGCTGAGGCAAGCCTAGCCATTCCCTGAGGAGGGACCCCACAAAGGACTCTGGGATACAGATGACAGAAGGACTTCTCAGCAGACCCTCTCTTGCAGCCCTGGCTGTTCTTCCAGGTCCTAAGTACCAGCCCCAGGCCTGTGACATCTCTGTTCACTCTGAAGTGCTGCTGTCAAACCTTCTGTCTCAGTCTTCCAAGTAGCCAGAAATACAGGCATGCTATCATGCATGGCCAATTTTTTATTTGTTGTAGAGATGAGGGATTGCCAAGTTGCACAGACTGGTTGCCCCTGGGCTCAGACAATCCTCTGGCCTCCACCTCCCAAAGTGCTGGGATCACAGCTGTGAGTCACCACACCCAGCCTGTTTTATTTTTTGTAGAGATGGGGATTTGCCACATTGCCCAGGCTGGTCTTGAACCCCAGGCCTCAAGTGATCCTCCTGTCTTAGCCTCCCAAAGTGCTGGGTTTACAGGCATGAGCCACTGTGCCCAACCAAATTTCTTCAGTGTGACAATAGCATTATGATTATGTAGAATGGGCAACTTGGCGAGACCTCGTCTCTACAATAAATTGAAAAATTAGCCAGATATGGGGGCACACACCTACAGTTCCAGTTACTTGGGAGGCTGAGGCAAAAAGAGCACCTGAGCCCAGCAGGCCAAGGTTAGGGTGGCTGTGAGCATGCACACTGCACTCAGGGGATACATGAAGGATTCACAGGTAAAATGTCATGTCACAATTTACTCTTAAATTATTCAGGAGAAAGAAGAGTGTGTGAGTGTATAATATAAATGTATCAAACTGTGTTCACTGATGAATCTAGCTAAAGAATACAAGTGCATTCACTTTTTCTGCAGGAGTCAAATGTTTCAAAATAAAAAGCAGTCATTGAGAATCCTCTTCCTGCTTTTCCTTAAGTTTTAAGTGTACAACAATAAAACAATCTATTGAAAAATAACAATTCAACTTACAGCTAAGAGCTGTCTTATAAGCATGTCTGAGGCTTTCTCGGAAATGTTGCCAACAAAAACCGTAGTAGTGGGACCGCAATTTTCATCATTTTCTTTAGCCTTTAAGCCTGGATGATCCTTCCTTGCTCCCAAATGCTTTCCAACCATGGACACAGTGGGGACCAAGACCTAGGGTGAAGAAAGGCAAAGAAATTGGACCTAGCAATTAAGTTTCCTATCATATTTAACATTAGGCTAAAGACAGTTATGTTAAAATAATAAATATAGAGCACATTATTTAGGCTTCTGCATACTTGCGCATCTAATCTAAAGCTCCTGAAGCACACAGTACATTTCATTAAAGCAAACTTACTCAAGAAGAGTAAACCACCTCTACTGAATTACCTTTCTTCGAAAAATACTTGAAAAAGCAAACAAAAATAACCAAGAGTATCTGTTATGTTTAAGACATAATTTTTATTTTTTGAGTTGGAGTCTCACTCTGTCACCCAGACTGGAGTGCAATGGCCGCTCCTGGCCATCGCAGTCTAGATCGGCCGGGCTCCGGCGATCCTTCCACCTCAGCCTTCCAAGTAGCCGGATTTACAGGCATGCGCTACCACGCCCAGCTGATTTTTGATTTATTGTAGAGATGAGGTCTCGCTGCCCAGGCGGGTCTCGAACCTGCGGGCTCAGGCAATCCACTCACCTCAGCCTCCCAAAGGCGCGGGATTACAGGCTGAGCCACCGAGCCCGGCTAAGACATAATTTTTAAATGTTTAAGACATCATAAACCATTTAAAATAATCAAATACACCCAGAAGTTTTTTTTTCATAATACCAGTATCCTGGTACTCTCATAAGTATAAAAGCAAATTTCAATTGTCTCTGCTCATCCTTGAGCAGAATACTCAAACCATAGCACCTCCACACACACACTTAATTTTGCTATTTATAGTATTTATGTTCCAATCTTATTTTCCCTTTATAGCTTCCAACTTCCCCAAGGAAGAAATAGATGTTTGTACTTGGCACTGAATTTAGCAAACACCTTTAGTAGGCACTGAATAAATAGTGGTGAGCTGGGAGTGCTGTTCCAACCCCAAATTCTCTAGCCTGAAGTACAAAGGGAAGAGTACCTGTCTGGAGGCTTTCCAGAACAACCCAACGGTGGGAGTCCAAGGCAGGAAAAGCCGGACTCCGCTGAGGATGCAGAATCACATCTTCTTGGTGGTCTGCCTCACACCCAATTTCCATTTGTCCAAGTAGCTTCCCTTGCCTTGACTAAAACAACACTCCCCTACCCTTTTAAAACCCCAAAGATATGAAAAAAACAGCTGCCAAGTACTGAGATCTACCCTCTTTCAAAGAATTCTAAGTGACATCTATTTTACCTATTAATTCTAAAGGAAATTCTGGATAAAAAAGAGTCCAGTGGGTTATTATTTATTCATGTGCTACAGGACATGAGCATTGTTAACTAAGATGTACAGTGTTCAGAAGTTTTGATAACTGCTGAGAATGAAGGTTCAAGACATATTAATGACTACCAGAATATTTTAGCCAAGGAAAGACTTCAGTGAAGCTTTACAAAGCTTGAATATATCATATTAGAGGACAGAAAACTAAAATTTCCATGGGCTAACATTGGGGAGGTAGGAAGAAAAGTTAGAAAGGTACTCAACACAAATATCATTAAAAATTTGAATTTTTACAAAGATCATTTCTACATTCTTTTTTTTTTTGAGTTGGAGTCTCACTCAGTTGCCCAGACTGGAGTGCAGTGGCCGCTCCCGGCCACGGCAGGCTCGACTTGCTGGGCTCCGGCGATCCTTCCGCCTCAGCCTTCCGAGTAGCCGGAATTATAGGCATGCGCCACCACGCCCGGCTGATTTTTTTATTTATTGTAGAGATGAGGTCTCACTGTCCAGGCGGGTCTCGAACCCGCAGGCTCAGGCAATCCACTCACCTCAGCCTCCCAAAGGCGCGGGATTACAGGCTGAGCCATCGAGCCTGGCTCATTTTTACATTCTTTTTTTTTCCAGAGTTAGGATCTTACTTTGTCATCCAGGCTGGAGTGGACTGACACAATCGCAGCTCACCAGAGCCTCCACCTCCTGGTCTTAGGCAACCCTCCCACCTCAGCCTCCCAAGTAGCGCCACCACACCCAGTTATTTTTTTGCTTTCTGTAGAAAAGAGGTCTCATTTAAGTTGCCTAGGCTGGTCTCAAACGCCAAACAATTGGTTCAAGTCATCCTCCTGCCTCAGCCTCCCAAACTGCTAGGATTACAGATGTGAACCACCGTGCCTGGCCTCATTTCTGCATTCTTTTAAGAGAAGAGACACAAGCCGGGCTTCGGTGGCTCAGCCTGTAATCCCGTGCCTTTGGGAGGCTGAGGTGAGTGGATTGTCTGAGCCTGCGGGTTCAGGACCCACCTGGGCAGCGAGACCTCATCTCTACAACAAATCAAAAAATCAGCCGGCAGTGGTAGTGCATGCCTGTAATTCTGCCTACTGGGAAGGTTGAGGCGGAAGGATCGTCGCAGCCCAGGAGGTCGAGGCTGCGGTGGCCAGGAGCGGCCACTGCACTCCAGTCTGGGCGACAGAGTGAGACTCCAATTAAAAAAAAAGAGAAGAGACACGTCAGATCATTCTCTCATCTCCCAGGACCAAGTAAATGACAAGTCTAGAGAATAAGAGGAAAATCATAAAATTATCTACTTAGGGAGCACATTTTAGGGACAACTGCATATATGCAAAGCTGAGCGAAAATCATACTTGCTAAAATAGGTAGTACGATACACACAGGTGATGTTATTCTTTTAAATACTAATAAACAATTTATCTAAGTTTATCAGGTTGTTTAGATTTAAAAGTGCTAGCACTACCATAATTTGTAATCTCTCCATTGAAATATACTTACAGTTGGAGCAGGCGCCATAATGCTCATTGGTACAGGAATCATTGGGGTCCCTAAGAAAAGAAAAAGATTGAACCTTTAGTACATGACAGTATATGGCTGTATTCTACAACTACATGAACTTAACGAATAGTTTACATAAGTGGAAATACAGGACAATGAAAATGAATATTGATGAATGTCTTTTCGTGAAAGCAATATGGTTATAAAGGCAGTATATAAAAACCTACCCCCCAAAAACTATTCTGTTGGGTGGGGTGGCTCATGCCTGTAATCTCAGCATTTTGGGAGGCAGAAGTGAGAGAACTGCCTGAGCCCAGGGGTTTCAGACCTGCCAGGGCAACTTGGTGAGACCTCGTCTCTACAATAAATTGAAAAATTAGCCAGATGTGGTGGCACACACCTGCAGTTCCAGTTACTTGGGAGGCTGAGGCAGAAAGAGCACCTGAGGCCAGCGGGCCAAGGTTAGGGTGGTTGTGAGCATGCACACTGCACTCCAGCCTGAGCGAGAGTGAGACTCCTACTCAAAATAATAAGCAACAAAAAAAATCAGACAAATGAACACACAAAAAAACCCATTCAGAAAGTGAAATGGCTATTATAACATGATTTTGCAATAAAGAATATAAAATTCTGAATAGCTGTCTGTTCAGGTTCCTGTGGTTCAGCAATCCTAAAACCAGTACCTTTCACAATACAAACTTATACTAGTATTAAAGAATCTATTTTTTTGAGTTGGAGTCTCACTCTGTCGCCCAGGTTGAAGAGCACTGGCACGCTCACAGCCACCACAGCCTCGACCTGCTGGGTTCAGGCAATCATTTTGCCTTAGTCGAGTTGCCCAGTCTGGTCTCAAACCTGTGGCCTAGGCAATTCTTTTACCTCAGCCTGGAAAGTGCTGGGATTACAGGCTTGAGCCACCACACTCAGCCTAAGAATTCTTTAAAAGTAACAACACACTGTGCAACATGGTGACTATAAGTCATAACAATATACTGTATTTCTGAAAACTACTAAGAATACTTAAGTGCTATCAATACACAGCAAGATGTGAAGCAATACATGTTAAATAGCTCAATGTAGCCATTCCACAATGTATACATACTTGAAAACATTTTGTACATGATAAATATATACAATTTAGTCAAGCAAATGAAGTAAAAATAAATCCTTTGAAATTTTCTTAAGAATCAAAAAAGAAGTTTATCTGTAAATCTAAAAACAGTCTTGTTAGGGCTGGGCTTGGTAGCTTAGCCTGTAATCCTGGGCTTTGGGAGGCCAAGGTGAGTGGACTGCCTGAGCCCACAGGTTCGAGACCCGCCTAGGCAACTTGGTGAGACATCATTTCTACAATAAATCAAAAAAAATAGCCCAGCGTGGTAGCACGCGCCTGTAGTTCCAGTTACTTGGAAGGCTGAGGTGGAAGAATCGCCAGAGCCCAGCAGGTCAAGGCTATGGTGGCCGGGAGCGTGCCACTGCCCTCCAGTCTGGGAGACAGAGTGAGAGTACAACTCAAAAAAAAAAAAAAAAAGAATCTTGTTGCCGGGCTCGATGGCTCAGCCTGTAATCCCGCGCCTTTGGGAGGCTGAGGTGAGTGGACTGCCTGAGCCTGCGGGTTTGAGACCCGCCTGGGCAGCGAGACCTCATCTCTACAATAAAAAAAATAAAAAAGTCAGCCAGGCATGGTAGCACATGCCTGTAATTCCGGCTACTCAGAAGGCTGAGGTGGAAGGATCGCCGGAGCCCAGCAGGCGAGGCTG